ACAACAACTACTACTACTACTACTACTACGGCTACTGCTACACCGACAGTTCTTACCACTATTACTACTACTACCGTTCATATCACCATCTTTACTATGCATGCTATTCGTATTACTTCAACGACCACTACCAGTACCATTGCTACTATGATTATGACTTCACAACAGCTCATAGCATTATTACTTTTACGACTGCTACTACCATTGCGGTTACTTCCATATTTCTTTCTAAGATTGCCATTTCTACTACAACGGATGCGGCGAGCATTTTTACTCTTACGACGGCGGCGTCGATTAGTACGACTGCTGCTACTACCACGACCACGGCTAGTATCACTAGCCCAAAACATACCCGGACCCGGGGTCAGCTGGGGTGAAAAGGGCCGCCCGCTAGAGCGTTTTCGGCCTTGCCGCCACCTCGTCTGGGTACGGGTCGGTGCCCGAAACAACCATACATACCTGGACCTAGCTGGGGTGGTGGTTGGGTCACCCCGTCTAGGTACGGGTATGTATGGTGGTTTCGGGAGCCGACCCGGACCCAGGGGGGGTGATGCCCCGAGGGCCCCTTGCCACCCCGTCTGGGTAAGGGTACGGGTATCTTTCGCGCTCGAGATAGTATTATTATTCTTATGGTTATTACGGCTACCCCTGCTGCTCCCACTACTACTACGACGAGTTCTTGTACGACTATTTGTAGTATTATTGCTGTTACTACTAGTAGGGTTGACTTCTGTCTGTTTGCGAATTTTCTTTTTTGGGGGGTAGGGGACGCCGCACACGATTACCATGGGAAAACCATACGGCGTCCATGAGAAAGCCATACGGCTACCATGGGAAACCGCACGGTTATCATAGGAAAGTCACGTTTCTATCATAGGAAGCCATACGGTGATCATGAGACAACCAAGCGACTACCATAGGAAATCATACGACTATCATATGGCATCCATACGGTTACCTTGGGAGAGCCACACGACTACCACCGGAATCCATACGAATACCATCGAACATCATACGGCTATCACGGGGTTGCCAGGAGAAAACCATTCGGCTACAATGCGGAAGCCATACGATTGCCATTGGACGACCAGACGATTAGCATAGGACGTTATACGATTTCCATCGGCAACAATCTAGCCATCATACGAAAACGGTACGATTACCATCGGAACGCCACACCACCTTCATGATAAAACAATACGATTACCATCGGGCAGCCATGTGATTATTATGGGACAGTCACACGATTACCGTCGTAAATGATCATGCGGATATCACAGGTATACCATACGATCACCATAGGGGAACCATTCGAAAACCATACGGTTATCATAGGACAACCATGCGGCTGTCGCATGAGAACCAGACAGCTATCGTAAGACAGCCGTGCCATGAGAAAGCCATACGCTTGCCATCGGACTAACAGACGACGACCAAGGGAACCATACGACAACCATACGGTTATTATAGAAAAACCCTGCGCCGAACGTAAGACAACCATACGGTTATCTTCGGGCAGCCATACGATTATCATCGGAAACCATACCATTATCAGAGGAACAACATGCGACGATCATAGAACACCATACGAATATCATTGGAAAGCAATTTGGTTACCATACGGGAACCGTGCGATCACCATACTTCAGCCATGCGGCTTCATCGGGAAACCGCAGGAATACCATTGGAAGTATTCGATTCGCACAAGCAAAACCATACGGCGATCCTCCGACAGCCATCAGATTTCCCGCAGAAAGCCATACGACAGGAAACCCATACGATTATCAGAGGAAACATACGACTATCATAGAAACACCATACGAGCACATGAGGAAAACCGTACGATGCCCATACGGCAGCCACACGAATACCATGAGACAACCATACGGCTATCATGATAAACCATACGTTTACCACTGGGCAGTCATACGATTATCATTAGAAAAACATACGATTACCGTAGAGCAGCTGTGCGATTATCAAGGAAAAAACGCACGAGTCTCTGAAGGAAACCATGCGGTTACTTTTGGAAACCATAGAATTATCCTAGGGCAAGCTACGATTATGACCGGACAGCCATACGATTATCATGTAAAGCCATACGAATACCATAGGAATACCATACGATTATCATAGAAAGCCGTTCGAATACCAGGTCAACCATACGATTACCCGTAGGAGAACGCTGCCATTACCATACGAAAACCGTACGACCACCATTGGACAACAATGCGGTTACCATCGGAAAATCATACGATTCCCATTGGACAGCCATACGACTACAATGAGAAAACCATACTATCACGATCGGGATATCTTGCGAGTGCGGTCGGACAACCATACGATTACCACCGGGATACCATACGACTACCATTGGGAATGCACACGATTCCCACCAGAAAGCCACACGATTCCCATAGGACAAAGTATACGACTGCCATAGGAAATGTTCACGATCACCGCAGGACAACCATACGACTACCATCAGACAACCATGCGA